GTATATTTATTTGTTCCTCTTTTAATATTGCTATTTTAGTTTGGTTTACCAAGCTTGTGAGACCATTGTGTGTATACACTATACAATCACTATTGAAGAGTAAAAATTTTTGAACCGTGATATCGTAAAAAAATTCACGCAGTCAAAGACAAATAGGTATTAATCATGTGGGTAAAAATCACTTTATGGAACAAATGATAAATTAATATTATAACATTAATTTAAAATTATGATAACAACGATTCCATTCGCTGGTGATAAAACAACTGCAGGCGACGTAACATTTATTACCATATAATAATATTGTCCCATTCACATTAGACTAAATACATATTTTGACTTTTTGTAAACCACTTCATTGATGTTGATCAATTTTTAACCAACTTCAAAAGAAGGAGGTTCTATGAATTCAGTTGTATTTTTTCTTTGTTACCTCATAACTCAGTCAGTTGTAAACCAATTTAAAAAATATTTTTTTTATCTGAAAGGATATGCTTACAGATTGGTTCCATAGAATTTTTATTAAAATCAATTCAGTAACTTAGTTTTTAAATCAAAATAACCAGCCATTTTTTTTTTTGTGAAATACAAATTTAATTTTTTATAATACCAGATGTTAACTGTTGCTTTGCACGCGTGATATCGTCATTTCTCTTTGTCAAAAGTCCTTTCTTAGCGGAAGCTTAGATAATGAACCTATGTTCCAAATTTCAGTTTTTTAGACTTTCAGACATCCAGACATTCATAATACAACAAATTCATAAAACAAGTTTTAGCTGTGTGTTGATAAACAGTCAGGACAAACGTTTTTAGTTTTACCTTGAAATATTAAACAAATTGCATTATGAAAGATTTTAGTTAAAAGTTGTTGTTATCTCAAGAAAAGTACCTATAATATAATAATAGTATAAAAAACAAACTCATACAATTTCTTTCTCTTATAAAACTTTAAAAAGAACTTTAAATTAAGATAATTTAAAATTAAGAATAAATGCGAGCAATTTGCCCCTTATTTTTATCTTCATAGTTATAAGGAAATATATCTTGTTATAACAGGAGGATATTAGATACAACTTAGAATGACAAACAAGCAAATATAATGCATAATAGTAACAGTGACGTATGTAAATATTAAATACAAAACAACAAAAAAAAAAAACCATTGTATTTACACAAGTGGATAATTGATGTCTTTGGATTCACTGGAAAGTTGACTGCATCAGTCGACGACTATATCTTTGAGCAATGACTTCAAAGTAAACTAAATTGAGTCAAGGCGGTAAAACTACAAACGGGAATTTCAGGAAGAGTCAAACAGACACCGCGGTTAATTATTTTCTGTTTGCACTGAGGAAACAAACTTAAAGAACCCCATCCGACTTAATACCCTTTTGTTCACACAGGTAGATAGATAATAAAACTACGGCAAGAGAATATTTTATGATAGTTGTTCCAAAGGTACTGTTACCTGTTTTCTTGATAAGCTGTTTATAAAAATAAGTATGTTTTTTGTTCCATAACTATTTTCTTTCACAAAGAGCTGTGTTATTTTGTATTGCTTACTTACGGGAAACTTACCTACTTATTGGAAGGTACGTACTTTTACTTTATATTGTTAAAGTAAAGAATAACTATATAAATATTAGTACTTGTTTGTATAGTTATTTTTTTCTGTACTACGATTTAAATACACAAAATGCCATTTTAAAATAAAGGTATACGTATGTTAAGTACTCATCCAATTTTTATTTATAGTCAAATGAAGGTCAAACAACTAGGTATTTATATTTTGGCGAGGGAACCACCTACCACATTATATAAATTATATTTTGTCTTAGGCTTTTCGTAATTTATATGTATTTTAAAATTAAAACGACTATTGGATAAAATATCTATTACAACAAATAGTTACTCTTACTTGACCATTTCATTATACTTACCTAATTTATAATAGATAACTTTAAGGGAATAAAAGTAACAAATATTAGAGCTGACTATATACTTTATAAAAAAAAAATATACCTACATACATTGATTATATTTGTGTTTATTAAATTTTGTATAGGGAATTCCCACAATGCCATGAAGGGCATGTATATACCACAACACATTTGTGGTCTTGCTCGGCGTGCTTCTTAATGTTTTTATCAACACAGATCCTCATAAATATGTGTTTAACTATCCATGAACCATGGTTCATAACATACTGAACATCATCTCGACGTTTGTGCCAAAAATATCCTTGACATCATAGCCGGTGTGCCTACAACTTCAGCTTTATGGACCATCACAGTCGTCCGGTGGAACATCATAAATATCGTAAAGCAGACATCTGCAAATGCAACTAAATGCAAAATACCTACACGTGACGACATACACGAATGCATCAGTTGCATATTAAATTTATTATTCTTATAATAGAAAATGTTGCCCAAATAACACTGGTGTAATGTACTCGTTTGTATACTAAATAAAAAATAAAACCCATTGTTATATCAGACCATAAAGTATCTTATGTTATTAAGACTCATCACTAGGACAAAAATATATTACCTAGTCACGGATAATATAATATTCACTAACATCCAGTGCCAAAACTCGATTTTGAATGAATAATAATTTATGTAAGTACCTAGTTTAGAACTTTTGGCGCTACGTACTCAATGTACGTACTCAAATTTCCCGAGGAAGATAAAAAAATAATTTCTTATAAAATTTTTAACAACAAATAAATTTTAAAAGACTATATAGATCGTGAGCATCATTATATACCTTTACAAACATTTAAAAAAGAGAAAGTTCTGTATTTTTTTTTGTTTCCTCCTATTTTTTTCAATCAATCATATTTTTTTTATGTAGCTATAGGAAAACACCACATCGTTTTGGCCAATTTGGAATTTATTTTCATAATTATTTTGCAATTGATATTTTATGTTCGTTTGCTCTTGTTGATCACATAGTTACATTCTGGTGACTTGTAACACAGGTTCTTCTAAACCTACCGCAAGCACCAGTCTCTCACAAAACTGGTCTTCATTTCAAATTGTACCTCATGTTGTTACTTTATTCCACCTTTTGTGAAGAGAAAATAAACCGTTCATTCATTCATTCATTCATTCATTCATAGTAATTTTATCACCACGGAAAACGCTGTTTTTTTTTAAGGAAACAAAATAAATTAATACCTACTAACTATTTTTCGGGGAAAGGGATTGTTAGCAATAAAATTTGACAGCCCCATTGCTAGCAATATGCCCTATTAGATCGACCTCCACGTGGTTCCCCTGGAAATCATCGTGAACAATTCTTGTTGAATTCGTCACGATGGGCTAACTGATCTGCTTCATCCTTCACTGGTACCTCGCCGGTGTATACCGATAGCGCGGGTGGGGTTACCATTCCATTATTACCAATAAAAAAAAACTGTTTCTCGGGGCCTTTCTCGCGTGAATTATAAAAAGGTCTACGTGTTATTAAACCAGTATAATAAGTAAGGTTCACTTTTGTAAAAAAAAATTGCATTCGAATCCGTTTACTCGTTAAAGCGTGGCATGATTAAATAACTGACATATACAGATATTTACAAAATTACACTGCTTACACATTTATAAAATTTATAAGATAACCATAGACCATACAGTTTTTGTATGAATTATCTATAAAGGACAGTAGGAACGGAAGCTGGCAATAATATAAACTTGCGTACTAAGTTGTTGATAAGACATTGAGTAGAGTTAACACATATCTTTTGAAATATTACATATTAATTTTATGATTTTTAACATTTAAATACTACAGAGTAGGTAACTACACTTATCAGATTTAGAAATAAAAATTTAAAATCTTTTTTTTTTATAACACAAGGGGTAAACGAGCATGCGGCTCACCTGATGGTAAGTGACCACCCCGGTTTGATTACCCATCGTAGATGTGCTACCGGCCTTTTAAAAAGGAATATGCTCTTTTCTTAAAGGTTATTTTGCTGTATCAGTTTGGAAATACTGCTGCTGGAAATTGATTTTGAAGAGTGGTTGTGCGTGGAAGAAAGTGCCTTAAAAAACACACGGTAGAGAACCGCTACTCATCCAGATAGTTGGGATGGATCTTTAGTTTGTGGCGGATTGTACGGTGATGAAAATTAGCAGCAGGTCAATCCGAACAGTTTTTCATTTCACTCCCCATGATAAATTCAGTAGAAAATGCACAGAGATGCAACATCTCTACGCAGTTTCGGTGGGTCGAGTCGGACAGTAAGGCGCTGATCTAAGCTGTCATTTAAATATACTGACACACATGCGTCATTTCTAGCCCGGGCGAGCATTAATATAAGTACACAGAGCCTCAAGTATTTTCGCTTCAAAGTAAAATACCTATAGATAGATAACTATATGTATATATTTTAATGTATGATAATGGAATGGTAACCTCGCCTGCTCTGACAATATACTCAGATGGGACACCAGTAAGAGATGATAGGTGAGAATGATAAGGCAGGCCCATCGTGATGAATACACCTGGAATTCAGCACGGTGGTTTACAGGGAGGCCACTTGGAGGTCGACGTGACAGGGTATATTGCTAGCAATGGGTTCGCATTACGAACAATCCCTTCTCTTCCCCAGATGAGTAAATCACTATGTAATTAGAGAAAATGCAGTGGTAACCCCGCCTACGCTAATGGAATACGCTGGCGTGGCACCATTGAAGGGTGATCGATGAGGATAAAACAGGCCAGTTAGCCCATCATGATGAATTCATCAGGAATTAATCATGATAGTTTCAGGGGAACCGCGAGGAGGTCGACCTGGTTGGATATATTAGCAATATATCCAACCAGGTCGACCTCCTCGCGGCAATGGGATTCTAGTCTCCATTACTAACAATCCCTTTTCCCCCCAGTAATCGATATCAGAAACCTTTTTGTTAACAATACACCATGACAACTTGACCTATGAATTCACCATCATGAACTACGAGTAAGTGACCTAACTTCTGTCTCACCTATCATCTGTCAGTGGTGCGCCGTCAGTGAACACCAATAAAAATAGGTGCTTACTCTGATATCTATAATTCTACTCAGTAGGACATATGATAAAGTTACCAACAATAAGCAGTAACTATCTATTAGGTAAGTATACCATGTGTATGTGACTAAGTCTTACCTGTACAGTGTACATGTATGCCGACACGCATGTTGCATGTTTCAAGCGCTGTAATGTATCAAATTTAAACGACACCGCTACAATCTCGTTAGACACCACGGCGTCACATTCAGCCCTCTGCAGACAGTTCGACGCCAGCCGTTCCTTGTAGACACACTACTAACCGTATATTGGGTTGGAATTTATATGATAATATTTTATCAGTATATATCATTATACGTTTTAATTCTTTCATGTCATTCTACAGGTTTATAAATGAGTATTTAATTCGAAAAAAAAATTGTACATTATTGCGTAATATTTAATAATCTTATTTTAAAACGAATAAAATGCACCTACTTGTTGATAAGTATACAATATATTTTATAGACACATTAGATTTAAATTATGAATGATATTTTTTTTTATTTAGTACGCAGCATTACGCGGACTCGTACTCATCTAAATTTTACTCCTAAAAACGACCCCTTCAATCTTTATTACTCTAATATAGAACCAAGACGAGGCTCTTTTGATTGCGTATAATTAGCAAAACTATAATAGTGTGTTTAATAATACATAACTTTTAACCAATCTTATCAACACTCTATGACTATTTATTTTGTTATGTTGCTTATAAGACAAAGGTAGGTAGATTTATTCTAAATACCTGTCAATTTATTAACCTGATATCTTAGTTCAGGCAAAGTTATCGTATTCAGCCAAAAAATAATGCATTGGTATAAATTCATAATTAACAATACCTACCAGGAAAATGTAAAGCACATTATAGAATAAATCATTAAATAATCACAGATAGCAGTTAGTTCCAACAACCTCCCTAATTGCTTGCAATCCTTATTATTTCTTGACACGTCCATTATACTTCCATGTTTCGTTTCGTTTTCAACTGACTTTAAAAAAAGGAAGGTTCTCAATTCGATAGTGTATTTTTAGTTTATGTATAAAGGTATGAATGAACATATAATGTAAATGTAATGTAATATAGAATCAGTCTTACGATCGATTTACATTTCATTTTTTTAAAACACGTGATGAACATTGAGAATTTAAGAATCACGCGCCGTCCCTGAAAAACATGGTAAATGCCAAAAATCAACTTAAAAAACTATGAAAACTTTTTTTATAATAATATTCTATGAGTAGTCGGAGCCAATGTAACGAAATTTATAACGTATTTTTATATAATTTATTTTCATTTACGAAAAAAAATATCTGGATTTGCATTCTTTATTTAAATTGTTCCGCGTAATTGAACAAAAATGTTAATGTAAAAGTGGATGTAATGACTATTTTTGGTAAAATATGACTTGTTCGAAATTCTATAATATGAAAAATGAATATTGTTTTATTAAATCCTTTTATCAGTCGCTTACATATAGTCATCAAGAGCCATCACGTACATCCATTAAAAAAAACCCTTTCAGACTACATTCTAAATCATTCATAAGTATTTCATTATTAAAGCACTTATTTTCAATTTTTTAGTAATAGTAAAAAATGTTTAGACTCTAAACCAAATGAAATATCAGTAGCCAATTCACATCGTGATCTAAAAATCCTAAAAATTGACAAAGAGCACTTCGATAATTAAAATTTAAAATCGTGGTTTCAACCATGTAACATATAATAGGTATGTATCTAATTCCCAAAGACTTATTATAACACAGAAAAAGAGGTAATAGTTAAAAAGGAGACACCTCCGTCAGCACTAGCCTAAATAGGAATATCATAAATTAAAATACATTATAATTAATAAACAATTCTTTTATTAGATAAAATAGTATTAATCTTAATAATCAATCTGCATAAATGTGGGAAAGCTTCATAAACCCCACATATAAAAATACATTTTTATATTTATACACAAAAATAAGCTATCATCTCAAGATGACGGCATAATGCACTATGGCGGCGTGTATGTTAAGGCACGATGATGGAGGGCTACGCCCCAGGCGGCGCCAGGCGGGCGTCGGCGACTAGATCACAGGAGGTTCGAGGCTGAGCCCCGTCGGCATATTCTCATCTGAGTGGAGCCGGAAATGAGGGCATGGCCGCACACCAGCGTGGTGCTGAACATGCGGTCAACGCGCATCCGGTCGCACTCTGCACTGGCACGAATGCAGACACATGTACACCGCTTGACACTGGTAATGATGCTACTGGTGGTCTTTCTTCTTCTTCTTCTCCAAGGAGATATGGCCGGAACAACTTAAAAGGCTTGCGTGGTGGTTCTGGCACAGGTGGACACACAGGTTGTGTTGGAGGTGGAGATGGTCGACGTATCGACAAGTCAATCGGCTCGGCAATAACTGGAGGCAGTGGTAAAGGCATAGCCGCCGGTAGCGGCGTGGGCACTGTCACTGATGTGGGCAGCGAAGCAGGCGGTGGAGACGGCAATCTGGCACTCTCTGGTGAACCAGCTGTGTACGGAGGAGGCGAGGGTGCTGGCTGAGGGGCTCTTCTTAAAAGTGCTGCTCTCAATGTAGGTTCAGCTTGAAGCCACTTTTGAATTTGGCGACGATGAATGCCAAACTTCCTGGCTGTAGCACGTTGATTACCTCGACATTGAGTATCACGTCTATATGCTTCAAGAACTTGTAGCTTAAATTGTGGTGGAAATATTCGTCGAGAACCAGCACGGCCTTCTGGACGACGGTCTGAGGGCGCAGGGGCAGAATGTGTATGGGCCGCTGCCATTTCTCAATAATAACGTGTATGCGTGACGGCTGACGGCGCCGAACTGACTGCTTGCTCGTTCGGTGCGGTGAGGATGTTGGCGGCGCGCCGCTGCCCACCCGACGTGACTGTGCGACGCAAGCATCGTATACAATAAGTTAAGTTCACACTGTTCTAAAAATATTATTCAAAGTCAACACATTATTCAAAATTCCAGCAATGGAACCTGTTCGAGGTAATTAGGTACAGTATAATATAATATATAGTAATATATGAATGCATTCCATACTATACAAGAAATTAACTTTTTCCATAGTTCATTTCTGGAAACATGTTAATCATCACCCCTATTTGAGAAAATAACATTTCAATAAATACCTACTGCTAATAATTCATTTTGGAAATGGGACTATATATTTGAAAGATAGGCAAATGTTCTTTAAGGAAAATTGGTAACAATCTAAATTTTACTTTATAAGAAAACATGTCGGCAAATGCATTTGGATAGCAATCTTTGTTGAAGATTGAACATTTTACTAAACAAAACTAGAAAATAAATAAGAAGTAAAATAGTTAAATAATAGAGCAGCCATAAAGAATGTACCTAAAAATGTACACTCGTCCAAACATTACTCAGTTTAATACTGAAAAAAAATTGTACATATCACGGCTGTCTCCTATTAGGGTAGGCAGAAACAATGGAATCAAACAGATTTCTTTTGCTTTCTATACATTCATCAATCTTTTCATACATGCTCGACAGTTACGAGTATTTTTAATTTGACTCTACTTCCGTATATCGCCTATTTGGTCTACCGACATCTTGATTCATGCTCGATAAATCTCCTTCGTAATCTTTCTTTCATCCATCCTCTCCAAATGGCCAAACCAACTTAACATTCTCCTTTTCAATTTTTGTCTCAACATAGTCAATCCTTTTTCAATTTTTATCAGTACAATAAAATTGTATTTAGCTAAATTTTATTGTTAATAAACCCATTAAAATTCCAATAGTGACAGGTCTCTCCTCATAAAAGAATATTAACCCACTATTACCATGTAAGTACCACCTACCACCAATAGTTTGTAAAATTTAAGATGTAGTATTAAAATGTAATTCTGAAAATTAAATTCTGAACATAACCATTTTAAACGCTACTTTATCCAGTAATCTCGCCTCATTCTCGGCGTGAAAAAATGTCGTAAGTGGGAGCCGATAGCTCGTAGCGCCACCATTGCTATTCTTTTCACTCGCGCAATTTCTCACAGGTTAGAGCAAGATAGCATATGTCCTGCGTCGGTCGCTGCCACATCCGTTTACGAAACAAGTTTGCATGCGAGGTTGCCGTATCGTGCGCGCGGGCGGTTCAAGAGTTAGGAGGGGGGCGCGGGCGGACAAGAATGTGCACGATGTGGCAACGTAGCCGTTCCGCGGCAGACAGGGTGTCGCCGGCTCGCCGCCGTAGACAAGCCGTCGCTCGGCGGCGCTAACCCCCTCCTACACCCGCTCACACCCGCGTCGCCCGCAACGCACATCAACAAGTTATTTCGACTCAAACCTAAGCGTGGGTAAAACATCTTAAGTGGTACGTTCAATTTAGCCAGTTACTGCGTTTTGTCATATGACTGTCACTTAGCGCCATCGCCGTTTCGAGGAAAGTTTTTTGTGTAAGCGGCAGCAGGCCGCCGCCTGCCGCGCCTATCTCAAATCCAGCCACCGTGAAAATAGCAACTAACGCGTCCTTTATAACAAATTATTGAAAATAATATTTTTTATACTAAATGGTAATAATAATAATTCATTATTATAAACATGTTTTAGGACCCCTTTAAATATGTGTCTAAAAAAAAGAACCAGTATCACTCATTTGAGAAAAATTGTAATTTCTACCTTTCCATATGTATATGTATTTTTATTATAAATATAAATTATATTATAAAGAGGTATATTACAAAATCGACTATTTCGATTAATACTTTAATAAATCTAAACAGTGCACTTAAGAATAAGATATTATTAGTAGAATATTATTATGTTACTGTGCAATTACCAGGTTATTACAATTATTATAGAAATAAAGTTGTCAAATATACGGTCACTAAATAAATGTTGATAGCTAATTGTTTAGATAATAAAATATAACACTTTATAACAAAATGGTTGAATAGATGCTTCGATAGACACTAAGTAAGTAGACATGAGAACACTACTTTTTATAGTGGAAGAACGGCGTTACGTGACTTGGTATTTTTTTTTGATTTTATGTTTTTGATGAGATCCTTAATTCTAGGACATTATTCGTATACTATAATAATATTACGCCACAAATTTTAATTAATATTGCAATTTACCATAGGCGTATTTAATGAAAGGTCGGATTGGCTGTACCCAAAAAAAAAAACAAAAATAATAGAGATATAGAACAGAACAAAAGTGTGACTTATACCAGAACTTATATTAAGTTACATTATGAACAGTCTGCATTACCATCAGTCCCCAAACTAGGTCAAACTTGTATCTTAGGAATGAAACAAGTAAGTGCATAAGGCAAATTACAAATAGATATGCCTTTAACACTCAGATCTTTGCCTTTTTTCCATAAAGGAGTTGACGAGAACAAATACATATTAGATAGTTATAAAATAATGTTTATGCATTTTCACGTATTCTTATTTTATAAGTAGCCATATGGTAAGTTAGTTTTAACTGACTTAAAAAAAAAGAAGGACTCATTTCAACAATTTCTCCAACATTTAGGCGAATTTTTCTATTTAAACTGATGTATATTAAGATAACTAGGGAATAATTGCAATTTAATTGAAAAGGAGAAAATATGTATGGATTTTTTTTTCTTTTTTCCCCGATAGATACTAGACTTTTCTATGTTCTGTTGTGAAGAATAGAGCTAGCAAAACAGGCTCCTCTTCCACTGGCATTGACTCTACTGTACGGTAACATGAGCCAGTATCCGGAATTGGATATATTGACCTGTAAATTTGTCGAGTTTCGTAGAGTGACAATAAAATATTTAGAAAATGTTCAGTAATAAAATTTTATTATGTTTCATATATAATGATTCCTAAGAGAGCAAATTGGGAAACTGTCAAACTCCCTTAGTTGATTAATATAATAAATAAATAAAAATAATGAGATTTAATATTAGCGTTTTTCAAAATTCAACCCCTAAATTTGTTAAACAAAGGATGAAGCAAAGAGGAATAATCTGACTGACTCATCAACGTACAGTCTAAACTACTAAAAAGCTAGAAATATCAAATTTAGATAGAAGATCCTTTTATGACCTACATAAGTAATAAGAAAGGATTTTCCTGAAATTTTATCCCTATAAGTATAAAAAATAGAGGTTTGTATAAGAAAGTATATTTTTTTTAAACGATTTCCTTGTAATTGATCATATATGTATATCTTCTTATAGCTTTTTATATAAAACTTAATTTGAGTATTTCTCAAAATTCATTTATTGTGTTAAATAAAGGACGAAAGCTAATATAAAAAAAACTTTTATACATTAATTAAAAAATAAAACTAAAAAAGTAAATCATGAAATCAGGGCAAAATTAATTACTTTATAATAAATTTAAAATTCGATTACTTTCTAAATTAAAAAAAACTTTTGGTCAAAGTTCCGGGTGTAAAGCAAGAGATAAAAATTAATATAGGGAATATTTTATTAAATATGATTTTATAAAATTGATTAAACAGGACTAAAAAAATATAATTATGTACTTACCATAACTACTATTTTAAAAGAACCGCGTCTGTCTGTATGTGCCGATAATTTCAAAAAGTACTGAACGGATTTTCATGCAATTTTTATTTATCAACAGAGTGATTCCTGGGGAAGGTATAGGTGTATAAATTACTTGTAATATGACGATAATTGCTGAAGATATCGGAAAAAATCAAGCCGTCTGAGAGCTTTCATGGAAAACGGTGCCTAATCCGTTTAAGAATATAACTAAACAATATGTATTGTGTTTGTTTCTGTATTGTAGGTCTACAAAGAAGTTCGCGATGGCATATGTCTATCTTTTAAGCATAGCTTGCTATCTGATTCATACCCATCTAATTCTTACTCAATGCAATAACCTGATGCAAAAATGTAAGCATATATTCTCTACAACCCATGTAAAGTCGAGGCAGATCGTTAGTACATACTAATTTTTATCCTCATAACAAAAATAAAATTTGGAATACAGGCCTTATTCTAACTTAAGTCTTCATGTAGGATACTTTATACAATCACTGGCTTTTACCCGCGACTTCGTCTGCGTGTACGAGGTATGTTTACTAACCGGAATAAAAAGTAGATTATAGCCTTCTCTATCCTATACAGTACGTGGAAACCGAATATTACAGTGTTTGTTAAGTCGTTACTGCGCTATAAGGTAACAAATAAACTCACTGTCACATTTATAATAGATATTAGTAAAGATTAGCGCGGGCAAAGCCGCGGGTTTCAGCTAAAAGAGAAAGATTTAATTGTTGATTTGCAATGAATACTGAGTGTATTAAAATAACTAAACCAATTTTAAATATTCTTTACATTATCAGTTACTTATTATTTACAACCGAACTGAAAAAGAAGCGACGATCTCAATTCGGTTGTATCTTTTTTTATGTTTGTAAACTCTATCAGTTATTAACTGATTTGAAAAATTATTTTTTAATTTAAAGTCTTAAGTTGCAGTGTTTTTTTTTTTGTGAAACACAATCTTAATTATTAAAATATCTCTCTAGCCTTGCAAAGCTGGACCGGCTCAAATAAATCATAATTAAATTTAATTTTTAACATTTACAGCGATATAAATAAATATACGTATTTTTTAAAATCTTTTTTCACTTTACATTTGTGTCTGTTGCTGTTTGTGTGCTGTAAGTAATGCAAATAAATTATTTATCTATCTATCTATATACATCTACATAGACCCTGCAAATATTAAGTACTTACACTGTTTTTAGGCGATCTTGTAAAATAAGTAACTACCCACATACAAGTAGGTACCCACATACAAGAATACATATTAATGGCATCTGAATAAGATATTTTTGTAGACACCAAGTTGCTAGAGGAAAACGGATACAT